AGCTGCTTTAGCTTGGCGAAGGAACTCATCTACCACAGATGGCAAGCAAACCTGTTTATAACATTAACAGGAGGATTAAACCATCTTTATCCGATTAAACGTGAGGAGTCACAAATCTTAGCAATAACAAAGAAAACAAAGATAGATCCTCTCCTAAAGAATTAGGATAGATGCTTAGGAACTAATCTTTTATTTCATATATGTTAGGATCCATTTTCTAAAAAATTTAATCCCCAGAATTGCTCACCTTCAGTGGGTTTAATTTATGTTTCAAGATCAGCTCCAGAGGCAAGATTGAAAGCTGTGACTTGAGACGAGGAATGTCCATAATAGATCTCATTCGAAAGCATAGGACATACATAATAGCCTGTTGTTATGCATTAAGCATCAATGTATCAGTTTCATAACCAATTCATACTACTAGAAATGGACAAGACAAGTATGCAATAGCTTTACTTTTATTCCCAAAATTTTTCACAGAAAACAATGAGCAAAGATGTTTGTAGTGGTAAGCATTGCTGACCTGGCAATCATACAACCAGCTAGGACAATAAGAGTGTTCTCTGCTCACAGCAGATTTGAGACCATAATGAAAAAAAATGTACTTTAGGTTATGTTTGGGATACATGAACTTCACTTTGGTAATGGTAACTCATTTTGAATTTTGATTGAATTTGAAATGCATTCTTTTAGTTTCACGTGATATTCCCTTGAAGTCAATTTTCATCATTGATAACCTCATTAAACATGGTAAGATTGTGGTTAGAAGATGTTTTCTTTTGCAACAATGCTATGGAGACAACTTAAAATCAGGCTGCATCGGGGCTGAAAATAAACCTCTTCAAATCAGAGCTTGCTAGAGCAGGGAGTCGTGGGGATGGCAGCAAATATGCCAAGGTGTTGGGGTGCAAGGCAGTGGTGTTTCCTATGAAGTATTTGGGGGTTCCTTTGGGAGCCAAATTTAAAGATAAGTGTACCTGGAAACCGGTTATTGAAATGTTTGAAAATAGACTTGCAGGTTGGAAAAGAAATTTCCTATCAAAGGGCCACTTAAATCTAATCAAAAGCACTATGTCCAACCTCCCTATTTACAACCTTTCGACACTCACCATCCCTAAAGAAATTGCAAGGAAATTGGAAGCTATTCAATGTAGATTTCTATGGAGCAATGAAGATGGAAAAAGAAGGTACCATTTGGTTAATTGGAAGGAGGTTTAAAAACCAATTCATAGTGGTGGTTTGGGGATAAGATCTCTTGTCAACATGAATTTGGCACTTCAAGGAAAATGGTTATGGAAGTTTTTGAATGAAGATTACAAGCTGTGGAGAAAAACTGTGCCTGTCCGCTGGGGTGATCTGAATGCGGTATGTTCTGGAGCCAGCTCTAGGCCTCATGGACGAGGCTTGTGGAAGAACATAATGAAACAATGGCTGAGGTTCTATAGCTGTATTAAATGGAACCAGGGGGAAGGGAATAAAATCAGTTTCTGGTGTGACAAATGACTTGGTGATGACAGTTTGCAGAATAGATTTCCCATAATTTTTTACTGCCCATTCGAAATTGATGTTGGTGGCTGATGCATACCAGGTTTGCAATGATTGTGTTGTATGGTCTGTTAATGTGAATAGACACTTAAATGACTGGGAAATTCAAGAGTTTGAAGAACTTTTGGCGCTTTTGGAGAAGCAGAATGTGAAAGAGGGCTCGGATCAGGTCTCCTAGAAGTTAGAAAAAAGGGAAAATTTTTCTGTCCATTCATACTACAGAATGCTGAATGGTGGGGATGAGGATGACAGTTGGGATTTCCCTTTTAAACAAATTTGGAATTCTAAAGTTCCGCCCAAAGTGGCCTTTTTTGCGTGGGAAGCAACCAGGGAAAGTATTCTCACTATGGACAAATTAAAAAGGAGGGGACAGGTTATTGTATGTGTGCAGAGGAAACTTGCAATCACTTACTTTTATGGTGCCCCGTGACCTATAGTTTGTGGTGTATAATTTATAGGCTGCTGGGGATTAATTCGGTTGTGACTGGAAATGTTAGGGATGAAATTTGGGCTTGGGATGGGCTTAAGATCAATGGTAATGTTTCTACTTTGATTCCCATTGATTGTTTTTTGGGTTATAGAATGCAAGAACATTTGAGAGGAAAGAAGTAGAGTTTTATAAATTAAGAGATAGGTGATTTAATTATTTCAGGACAAACTCGTTAGGGCATGATATGATGAGTGAGGAGAATTTTGGGATTGTCATTGATATGCTAACTACACTGTAAATCTTTTGTAAATAGGTTGGTATCCCTTTTTTGGTACCATGTCAATATACTAATACATTTTTATTTCAAAAAAGAAACGATGCTATGGAGACAACATATCTTCTTCTGCTAAGATGTATCATCTCGTATTTTTGTGGTCTATGATTCTGAACCCCTAAAGAGTGCAAACAGTTCATGGCCGGTGTGCTAGCAGATGTTGTGGGTGTCACCAGGTATCTTGCGTGATCAGAGAAGAAAAAAGATTATTTCTCTCATTCCTCCGGTTAGTTCATAGGTTATATTGTAGGAAAAGAATAAGTATGTTTGTTATTATGATGTTTGCCACTAGAAATTTTTTTTTTTTTTTTTGTTTAAGGGTCATGAACTCAAATTAGCAGAAGATCAAGAGGACACTATTGACATTGTGACTAACTGGTAAAGTCTATCTTTTACTTCATCTTGTACTTGGAATGCACCACTTTGGTGCTTTTAAATAAATTCTTCTTTTCTTCTAAAAAAATTTATCCTCATTGTTGAAATCTGGATTTCCCAATAAAGTCCATAAATGAGGTTTATTCATCCAAACGTAGCCTTAAAGTTTTTTTATCATGGATAGAATTAAACACTGAACATGCAATGATATTACGTTTTTGTACAACACGCAGCTATATGCATGTGGTGCAGAACAAGAAGATGCTAATTTGGAACAAATTCAGTACTAACGAAGTTTATGTAAATTATTATTGCCGTTTTAACATTTTTTGTTCATTTAGCTTGCTTAGGTAGATTTTAAGTATCATTAGGTTATAATACTTTTCTCATTGTAGTTACAGTTATTTACCAACAAAAATCCTTTTTTTCTGTCTTTCAAACTTTTTCTGTTCTCATGCAGAAAATGAAAGATAAAACATTAGCACAAAAAGTTAGAAAAACAAAAGATGTATCTACTTTTGTTTGTTATCGAAAGAGCACATACCTGGCATGCAGAGTAGAAAACTTGGTGCATTCTTGGATTAGAATCATATTCCCTAGTTTTGCAATATTCCAAGCACCAATCCACGAGCCTAAAATTTAAAAAATTAAGAATAATGTCTATGCTAAAATGAAATGGTTAGATCATTATAATTTCATCTTCAACATCAAATAACAGAATGCAAAGGACCTTTTCAGCATGGTAACAATAAAAGAGGCTGACAAGAATTTTCCGCGTGATAAATAACTAGCGAGATAAGCCACAGCACTCATCCTGCATAGGAAAGAAAATATAGATTATTGCTGGACGAGAAGCCTCTAAACATTTAATTAACCCAATCATGCACTATGCTAGTTTAGGAGTGTAAGAGAGTGCAACTCAAATTCAGAACTGTTGAAAAATGATCTAATTTAAGGTAATAACAATACATCATAATAATGCATGAGTCTTAAAAGCACACAGGTTCATGTATTGATGCATATTGATATTAGGTTCATGTATCATCAAAAGTCACGTATATGGATAACTAAATTCACGTACATTTAAAATTACTTGTGATAGCCCTATTCATGTATTTGATCAAAAGTCCTCACCTACACATTAAGGGTGATAAAGAGTAAAACAGAGTGTCACAGACAGTAACCTAAGAAATCTAACTTCTGTTGAAAATTGTCTGTTTGAAAGAACTTTCTGGTTGGAAGAAATGCCTCTATCAAAATACATGAATAAGATGGCTGCTATTACATTCTTAAGTTACTGTCCCGTTTTGTGTTTTCTTCATGTGAACATCATGATGAGGTTGAAGCCTACTGGGCCCTCCTATCTGCCTCCTCTGTCTGCGCCTCCAAACAACCTTCTGCCTCCAATTTGTTTCAGCCGTCCAAATATTTCAATTGCTAGATTCTGCTCTGTTTTCCTCATTCCAGCTAGGCTTTTGTTTTGGGAAATCACTTGGAACTGGCTTTTGGAAGATTTTTTGGCAGCCCATTGATAACAGCCTCGTATGCTTTAGGCTGATTTCTACTTTCCTTCTCACATCTCACCTTACCTATTTTCTTGGAGGTCATCCATAATAATTAGAAATATTCCTCTAGTAAAAGCTGATCCCCCTTGATTGCCTCCTTTATCAATAACTTTCTACTGTTACTCCAGACTATATCCTTAGGCTTGATTCTAGCTTTTCTAAAAATTGAGTCAACTCCCTTACCAATCTGCTGTGAGACCCCAATCACACCACCATCAACTCCCTTAATACCTGCTCTGTCTCCATTGGCTCTCTATTCTGGCTCCGTTAAATTTCCATACTCTCCCAACTGCTCCAGTGCCAACTCTAATTCCCTCCAGCCAGAGCAATTCTTTTCCTCTGGCACACAAATCCTACTCCTACTTTTCTTCCTTATGTAATGGGAAATAGCTATGAATCTCCAGTTTCCGCACACCTCGGCCAATGTGTCCTGTCAATACCTTGCATACTCGCACATACAGCGCAACTTTGCCCAAAGATACTCTTAAGAATTGCCTAAGGCAATCAACTCTCTTCTGTTCAACAGATATTTGAAAAGACTGGAAGAAATACTCACAGTTCTCCCAGGTCCAATCTCTCTGCAAACTCCAAATTTCTTTCCTCTCAGTACTGAAATCAACCCAAGAATCTGTTGTGCCTGCTTTGCATGAGTCAACTGTATGTTTGCTCCATGACTTTTATGATCTCAGAAAATGTGCAAATCTAGAAACTAAAAGGATCAATTGACCAAAAGAAACTTTCTATCAGAATCAGAATATGACTGGTTACCTTTTACTGGTTGCTCAGAACCATCATCTCTTTCAACCATAAGTTAAAAGGGTTGGTCTGTTTAAAAGAACTTTCTGGTTGGAAGAAAACCATTAAGTGTGATGCTTAAGATTCATAGGTTTGATATCAGGAATCCTAGGTTTGATATCTAAGTTCTATCCCCAAATGCAAACATGCATACATGTACAAGTGCATATTGTTATCATCTAGTTTCATGGATAATTGAAGGTTCAAACATATTTATCATTAACTGTCAGTGCATGTATCATTGAAAAGTGTATTCTTGTACCACTAATTGCCATAATCATATTCACATATACGATTATATATAAGTGTGATTAACAATCGAGCAAATGTAACATGCAGTAACTTTGGACATCTAAATACTCCCTAAATTTGGGCATCTAGTCTTGAGTCAAGAAGTAATTAGTTGCTATTGTGTAGACCAAAACTATACGAGAAAGAGATCAAACCAAGCCAAGTTAAACCCTGGAGATTAGAGTTGCTAAACCCTTGCACAGTGGGAGGCTCTAACTATCTCCAAGAAGTGTCATTGCATCTTTTAGCCAGTTTCAATATAACTTCATTCTGATTTTAATGTGTTTGTCTGTGTGGGTAACATAAGAATCAAAATAGATACATCGATTAGAAAAGTACATGCTTCATTTGGCATTTTGAACACCCACATCAACTAAACTCATAACATGCTTTTCCCGGGCCACTCATACCATGCTTGATAGCAGTCATAATATGCATTTATGGTACCATATGGCATAACTAAATATTAAAAATTTAGATTCTGTTTGGATAAATTTTAGTGATGGATAATTAATGTATGATCATAACAGTGATTGAATGGCAATAACACAAAATGAGAACAACAATATTTTTTATATTTGGATAATTGTGTATTAATGTATATTAATGACAGCTGTTTTGTTTAGATGACAAAATAGTATGGTTGTATTTTCAGTCAAATTATTAATTTATCTCTGTCTTATTATATATAATACTAAATGATATATAATAAGTATGTAATAAAAATAAATAAATTATATAAGAATATAATTAAATTTGTATTTAAATAAATAATTATTAAACATAATCAAAATAAATTTTTATATTTAATAAAATAAATAAAATTTTATCAATTATTATTTATATTATCACATTAATTTAATTTTAATAAAAATAAAATAATTTATATATTAGAAACAAATAGTTGTAATAATATATTATTATATTAAATTTAAAATTATTTCAAAAAATAAAAAATTAAAATATATTTGAAATAATCATTTATTTAGGAGGGTATAGCAAGAATTAAACATATTTTATAAGGGTATAATGGAAAATACAATTATTTGTCAGTCACATACCACCGATTCGGTAGTTTTTAAAATTCATTTAAAATGTGCCAGTTGGCTACCATTTGCTACCATCTCATCAGGTTGTAAGTTGAAACAAACAAAATTTTATCACGCTCATGAAATACCATACATTAATTTACTATCATTTACTACTATCCAAATAGGACGTTAAGAAGATGACCGAACTTATTTTCAAGATAAAGATGACTATATCTACACAAATACCAATTGGAAATTTATTTGAGTACTGAAACAGCATCGCAAATCAATTTTACAATCCACATCAAGCACCAACCGATCACCACTTAAGAAGCAACATATACGCCTAAAATATGGAGTCACTGATACAGTATGCCATACCTTGTCATTGATGGGTTGCTACTGCAAACAAAAATATCTGCCAGCTTGGTGGCATATCTAACACCACATTTTTCAGGATCTAGTGCGCAGGCATAGAACAGTATAAACTGCAACAAGAAGAAAATAAGGGCTAAATTAATTAGATAACCAGGTGCGGCTGTTGAGCTTTATGTACTTGCTAAAGGAAGCTCAAAAAATCAGTGACATCTTTTTAATAAAAGAAAAATCAGTGACATATTGATGCTAGTATATACATTACCTGGGAAAATTTTGACTTGTATGTACTCATAACATATTTCTCAAATGACCGGAGAAGAGTTTCAAATATCTGAAACAGCAATCAAACTTCAGAATGTACCTTTGCTGATTAGATGAAACGAACAAATTGAGGGAACATAGCTTCAAAATGTACCTCAATTAATCGGCCAGCGGCTTGGCAGGATTCAAGGTGCTCAAGAGTTAGGACCATCAAGCTATCTAATAATTCAGCAATTACATTCCCGCCTAAACTCTTCCTACTTAAAGATCCACTTGGAAACTGTTAAGGAATCATTGATTAGCATAAGCCAGCAAACAGCCATTCTAGGAGATTGTAGATATAGCTCAATATAATCAATTCAAATTTATATGAATAAACAGAAAGAGGCTAATATGCTATATAACATCTCAAATCCAGAAACAGATATAGCAATAGCTTGCCCCTACCAACTAACCTTATCTTCGGAATAATTGAACATTGAAATTCCCGTTAATCCCAAATTGTAATTGAAACTTATGTTTGGAATAAATCATAAATCTGCAAAGTATTTTATGAAATTTAACGCACTTTGAGTTTTTTTTTTTTTAAATAAAAGTCTTGCATGTATTGAGTTGAAGGTGCCAAGGGGGCACCACCTATGCACAACATTACTTACAAGTCGATTAAATTATCAATCACAGAACCAAAATCATCTAAACAATCAATGTTATGTCCCAAAATAGTGGAGACAAAAAAATGAAACCAACTGTTAGTGATAATGCTAAAGTCAGCTTCTTTGTCTTCAAATGCTCAGTTGTTCCTCTCGAACCCAGAAGATAGTGATAGGAATTAGTCTGAGGATTTTCCTTATTTTGCTTATGCCTTCCCAAGCTAGGAGCACTTGAGCATTTTTAATCTGGTGAAACTTTGGTGATTTATATTTATCTTTCGAACAACATAATTCACTTCCAAATTCCATCAAGTTTATGGAAATTACAAAATGCATGTTTCCAATACCACTCAAAGTTCATTGGGAATGAATTTTCATGTTTGGAAGAATTCTAAATTAAAAACTAAGATTTAAATGAATTCTACGAAGTTCGTCAATTCATTTGTTCAAATCACAAACACAATGTACAGGAATAGATTTTAGTTTCTATGGCTTCAGATGCTAGACTGACAGCATCATCTAAAACGGTTCCAGACTCAGGTCCGGGGTAGTTATGTGTCGGGTGCCTGACTCATTCACTGTCTAAATGGATCAATCTGACTTAGGGTAGAAGGGTAGAAAATGAGGAACAGGCAATTTCACCCTGGTGTGTTATCCCATAGAGAGGACTCCACAAACTCCCGGCATAGACGAGCAATTTCATCCTCTACTCTTGACCAGAAGGGTTCTGTGAAGCTGAAGGTGGATTAAAAGCCACATGCTGTGTGGCCATCAAACACTGCATTGTCTCCACAATCAGCACATATAGTTGGGATTGGTTTTATGCCAGTTTAGCCTGAAGTTTCACTTCCAACTTCGAAGCCACATTCTTGTACACCTCTATCATGAAGTTTTGGAGTCGCTGATCCATTCCTCTTGCTCTAACTGATTCCTCCAACTTGAGAAATCCTTTGAGAGTCAGCGTTTCCTTTGTTTTTCTCCAGCTTAACAATAGTAGCGAGAGACTAGCCCAGTGTAGGCGGCAGGTACCTGACTCGTTCATTGTTTTGAATGAATCAATCTGGCTTAGGGTTAGAGAGATGGAAAATGAAGAAGACCAGAGGGAGAGCAACATGAGGAAGAGGGTTTAGAAAAAAAGAGAATAGTAGAGAATAGGAAATATATTTTCATTAAAATTCCCATATCTACTATTACAAGTCTCCTTGGTACTATATTGCACCACCCAGCCAACCGATGGCAAAACAGAAAAATAACAAACATAATAGTTAAGTTAAGTATACTGACAGTTGGCACTCCAATTGTTGTTTGTACTAGTTATTCTTCTTATCTAATTTCTAAAGGCTATATTATTTATGAAAAAAAATAACAGAAAGTGATACACCATAGTCTTCTACCTAGTTATTCTGGATCCTAGCAGTAAGCAGCCAACTAAAAGTCGCCAAATTGATTCAATGATGCCTACAGGAATCACAAACTTATTTATGAAATAATAATAATAATAGACTAATTATTGATAGATGTCAAGACCCAATAATCCACTTTAGAGTAAGTTAATGTGATCGTGCAAGAAACCTGATAGGTAAACCTCATGCAAAACAATAATTGTCCTTCAATATTCTGAATTTCCTCACCCTTTCCACAGCTTCCTTAGGAAAAAAAAAGAATATTAGCATTTGCTTCCAAAGAGCTTGAGCTAATATCACATTCAAGTGCATGCAATCTGAACCCACCAAAAACGAAGTCCTTGAATGCAGAAGATATTAATTCTGTGAATAGTATTGATGCTTCTAATAAACTACCACTGGAGATAGCACTTATTGATTGAAGGTCAACATAAAAACCAATAATTAGCCAAAAGACATAAGACCTTACCTCATCACCATCTTGGTTGTCATCTGCAGCATCATTGACATCTTCAAGTTCCATATCAAATATGCCTTTACCTGAGTCTTCTTGTAGAATGTCATCCCAACCTATCTCCACCTAAAAGGGGACGAATACATCATGCCCCATGACATTAAAGCAAATCATGTTTTAGAAGGCACTAACTGTGCTATAGGGCATGTTTTATTCACTTACATCCAAATCTCTCAGCCTCTCCACCACTGCCTCAAGTATCACACTACCAACAATTTCACCAATTGTGCTACTCTCCAACCTTAACATGTTCTCCACATAAATCACAATTAACTGCATGGGAAAGAAATGCTTTTAATTAGGAAAAGTGATACTTTTGGCTGGCGTCTTTAACCAGAATCACAAGAAATTCCAATTTAAAGAACATCAAGATAAATCAACTGATGGAGAATGGCACGTTGAACTAACATTATCCTTTTTATGGATTGTTGGCATTCTTTGGGCAATTATTGGCAATAATCTCAAAGGAACCAGAGGCACCAAATCAGAAATTTTTTGCAGAGCTGTATGCACCCTAGAAAGAACTTCATACTTCTGAGCAAGACCGCGTGGCATTGTAAGTTTATCTAAGAAATAATAAGGAGGCATGAAATTGCTTACGAGCATCTCCAAACATGAATCAAGATATTTTTCACTTGAAACAGCCTATAATATGGCAAAAAGATTGTCACAAGGGTGGCCAAACAAATTTCAAAAATCATATAATTTCAGGAGAAACAAAACAACAGACCAAAGAGGTAATCAGGTCAATCAGCGCGTCCAACACATGAGGTCCATAGTTCCACATGCTCATTCCAAAAATCTGAAAAAAAAAAAAACATTATCGTGCAAAATAGGAGAAAGAAGTGAAAGAACAAACTGATATCTAAAAAATAAGAGTATAAACGTAAATACAGCATAAACTCAC